TCCCAGACATTGTGTAGATTAATGCAAGACAAAAAAGATTTGAGTCTTCTTTTTTTTTTTTACAGCTTGTTTTCTGTTATTGTTTTTTTTATGACATGTGAATTTGATTCTTCAAACTTCAGAATCAAAAGCAAAATAAACTCATGAAAGCATAAATCACACATTGTAAAATACAGTTTAAGAATATTAGGAACAAAGTATTTTATTTTTTTTCCCCAATCTGCAATGACCACATCCACTATGTACTACCGGTGCTGTAACTATTAAATATACATGACTTTAAATACTATTTATTATTTGTGGGTGACTGTTGTATGTACAGTAAGATGCTACAGCGACATGTTGTAAGAAAGAACAAATAAAGCCACTTTTCAGTAAAACATTACTCTTCTCTACATATCAAATGAACAGTCTGCTTTTCAGAATACTCTGCTGTAAACACTGAAATCAAAAAAGTCCATTAACTAACTAAGTAACACTTACTTTGATACCAAACTGCTTAAATATCCAAATACAGAACAGATGTTGGCAGGCACTCAGTAGAAAACATTCTGAATGAATAAAAACCAACAGAAAACAAGACATTAAAGTGCAATTTTGAATACAGGGTATAAATACTGCACATATTATCAAAATAAAATAGTTGAAGGGACGGCATCTGCCAACTAGAGCGCCGCCTGTGCTTTTCGAAGAGAAACAGCGCCATCTGTGTGTGGAAAGCCCTTCCTTTCCAAAAGGTTGATGTGTTAAACTCGGCCCTCACACTACCTGAACTAATCCTTCCAGTTTCTAGATCGTTGCAGTGTGATCGAAAGGATATATTTTACCATGTCAACAATACTTCATCTTAACCCCACACCCACACCTCACTGGGCAAGCCTGAGCTACTCTGACAGTTGAATTTAGTTTAGTGGCTGACATATAGAAGAAAACAATGAGGAGAGGTCACTGCTCTGCTGCCAGGGAAATGCTGCTCAGTGTCTCATCCATCCTGTGGTGCACTGGGTCCTGACCTGAGCTGGACTTACCAAAGCGTTCTCTCTCATGAGCGAAGACTTTCTGGAACTCCTGCAAACAGAAGAATTGGAGGTTGAAGTGGTTCATGACACATAGTACCAGAGATGTTTTATCTTCCTGCAACTCTGTAGCTGTCTAGATCGCCCTTCTGGTGGCGGTAGTGCATGTTGTAAGTATGGCGTGATTTTATTTGCTGCGTTGTACATTTTTTTTCAGCATAATCTAACTGCAGCAGATGATTTCTCTCAGTTAAAACAATAAAGTTTATTTGATTTTAAACTGTAAAAATGTGAAGACTTTAGTTTGAACTCTAAATAACAAAAGTCACAAAGTTTCCTTCACTAATTAGACAGGCAGCAAGGGGAAATGTAATTAACTCTTATCTTCCAGCCACAGCTTTCTAGTCTCAGATAATTCAGTTAGAGGACACTTTTCATCAATCACTTTTCTACACACGCCCACCTCTTTAAAAGTGTCTCCATACGTTTTAGTAATGTATCTCAGGAAAGCTGTGGTCCACTGCAGGGTGGTGACTTTGTCCGTCTCCGAGTCACAGAACGGCACCAACGTGTTCAGTTCATCACAGCACAAACGAATCCTCTTCCTGTACGACAGCGCAGACAATGCAGATGATTTTGAGCGATGCAGTCCTGTATATTTAATAATCAGTCATCAGTCACTAAGAATTCTTTGGTAACTCGTCAGCAGTTTCAAATCATGAACCATTTAACTTCTGAGTGTATCGGTTTTAAACTGATTTAGCATTTGCATAGGAATCAGGTTTCTTTTCAGTCCTCAGTGACACTCTTATTTTAAATCAAAATAAATCAAGTTTCCACATAAAGCAGCTAAAACTAATGATCACAACCCAAAAGATGTTCAGTTCTGATGCGTTGCTGTTGCACTACTTATCTGAATATATTCAAACGAGGACTGAGTTCACTTAAATCATGCCATCACCACACTGTGAGTGCGAGGCTCTGAGAAGAAACTATGAATGCACTTTTGGTAAAAGGACTGGTTCTTATTTAGCACTTTTCTACTCTACTCAAGCACTCAAAGCGCTTTATACAACATTCGCCCATTCACGCAAGCACTTTCTATTACTGAAGGATGCATCAGAGTACAATATGGGGTTCGGTATCTTGCCCGGTGATACTTTGGCATGCAGACTGCACAAGCCATGGATTGAACCACCGACCTTCCAATTAATAGATGACCTGCTAAAACAGAGACAGACAACCACACATATTCAACTACAGCCACCGCTAACCAGTGCACCACTGTTCCACCCGAAATAGAGGACAAAATGTTTAAAATTTGTAAATAGTTTTCTTTTTGTGCCTAAATGCAACGCCTTTTAAATCTCTGACCTTGAAAGCAAGCACACTTAACACACTTTAAGCATCCCAGGATATTCCTGAAATGCAAATGTTTATCTTGTTGCACACTGGATGCAGGGACGCTTCCATGTGTAACCTTCGGCTGCTCACCTGCGCTCCCTCTCCTTACTGTTGTGTCTCTCCCGGCGCTGGCTGAGCAACATACTAGATCTAGCAATTTTCCTCCTGCTGCTCTGTGGCTCTCCAGCAGAGTCTGGGCCGGCTTTAGCAGCTTTGGGTATCACCGCAGCAGGTATCACCGCATCCTCTGTGGAAAAAACCCAAGCATGTGAGACCAAGTTAGACACAGCCTTTCAGTCCATAATTGTAGCCAACAACACAGTTATGGCTTATGAAGAAATATTAGAATACTAATTATTACTTTCTAGATTAACCAAAGGCAGCTCTTCTGCTGGGTGAAAATTTAAAACGCTCTTGGGGATCATAACCTGAAATTAAATCAGAAAAACCAAGGATTAAACAGTGGGCTCTGCTTTACCATTAAGAAATATTAAAAGCACATTGATTTGTTTTTTTTTCCCCCCAGCATACCTGTCCACACGTGTTGGTGACTGGGCCATAAACACCCTCTATATATGAACTAGACACCCCAAAAGAATTTGCTCTGTCCATTTTCACCCACTTCTGCTTTGGAGGATGCGTGACTGTCTCTTGAACCTCTGCAGACTGCTGAAGTATTGTCAAAAAACTGAAACATGACATATCACACAAAATGAGTACATGTATGCTATACTTTAATAAAATGATAGTCACATATAGTATATACATATCTCTGAAACTTACTTGCTGAGAACTGCAGACTGTATATCTTGTTGTCTTGTGGTTTCAGCACACATGGCGCTAAATCTTTTCTCTAAGCAAACTCTAGCAGCTGGTCTGGTGCGATTCTGTACAGACTTCTTGTCACTGGTAAAAGGTTCAGCTGGGCTTTCTTCAGCTCTAATTCTGGCCAGCACAAAACCTGGCACCTCTCCATAAGACACTGGTGTCTTTTCTCCAGGCATTACTATACAGTGGTCTTCATTTGAAGTTGATAGATCAATAGCCTGAGCGCTTCTGAAGGGAGAAATCACTGTGGATGTGGCCTGTTCTTTGACCATCACTGTAGAGAGGTGACATCTGACATCTGGAAACTCTGACTGTGCCTCCACATGGGCTTGGAGAAGATGCTGAAGGTGAGAACAGTCAACCTCTGTCATCTCCATCAGCCCAAGCTCACTGCCCAATACCTCCCCATGTTCATGGGTAAAGCATCCACCTTGACTCACAATCATTCCAGCAGAGTCACTTATCTGTTCTCTCGATGAAGGTAACACATTGATGTTTTTACAGGTTGAAGAAAAGGACATATTTCCCTACAGATCAGGAAAAATATTAGATATAATACAGACCACTTACTCTAAATACTTTGTTACTTAAAGTTACTCTTAATGTTAGCTAAAGAAATTGTATAATTATAATTTAGGTCGTGAAGGTACGTTGTCGTGAATTTTAGCTTAGCTACAATTAGCAAAGGAGACGTTGGCATAACCTGGGCAAAATCAACAGGCTGTACCGCCATTTTAAAACTTGTAATACTATTAGAAACTCCAGGGCATTTAAAACAATCAGTCTTAAGTTATACAAATGCATAAAAGGTTGTTATTACTGAATTAATAAAGTCTTTGTACCGCTTTCTGTTCGGGGATTAGCACGTATTAATGCTTGGCCTCAGGCTGTAACGACGACCGTGTCCAGTTACCGGCGCTAACCTTCTCCCCATCACAGATAAACCTCCGATTATCTCAGTATACAATCATTTCTTTAAGCTCGTAAGCGGAACTTTAAACACAAAAACAAGCGGAAAATATACGAGGGGTCCTAAAGAAAACCCACAGCTGTCATCATAAATTACTTATGTCAAATTAGAAAATGTTATTTTTTTTATTGATCAGTTAGGGGGCGGAATAGTCCTACTTTTTCCACGCTTTTCTGTCATTCAGTATCTTTTTGGCGATCAAAAATAGTTAAATATGTTACATTTTTATACAAAAAACAGAATATGTAAATACATTGATTGCAGCTTCTTGAAACTTCATGGTTAGACAACTACATTTATACATGCGCATAGATAGATAGATAGATAGATAGATAGATAGATAGATAGATAGATAGATAGATAGATAGATTTCCAGATTTTCTGTTTTGATTATTTGATTCATAAAAACTGAAAGAGTGTCATTTTTTAAATGAATAAAAGCATTTGCACCTAAAAAAAAATTAGCACAATAAAAAAATATCTTAAAGTCTTTAGATATATAAAATAACTATCTAGTTTGAACCTCGTGGGGTCCAAAACAGACTGTGTCTCATGTGTTAAACCTGTTATGGTCTGATGAACTTTCCAGATTTACCTCATCTCCTGCTCTGAGCAACCTGGGATAGGTTTCCCCCACACAAATGACCCTACCTTCCATAAGTCGTTGAGAAAATGAATTAAATATATATTACAAAGAAAAAGAAGTTTAAGCACCACCCCTAACAGCACAACTGGCCAACATAGTACTTTTCTACATAACAAAAACTGTTCCACAATACTCATTCACATTGCAAAAACTGTAATGACTTCCTTATTTATTTTAAATAAAAAATTATTTCCAGTTGCAGTTCAAACTTTATACAGATTATCTCTTAAGACCTGAGAATAACACTACTATGGAAAACAGAGAAATTAATCCTAAGTAAAATGACAGAAAACAACAGAACAGCAGTAACAATGCTTGAGTTAAACTAGACTCCTGCAATACAAGTTTTATACATGTGGAGGGTTACAGAAAATATGTAGACCCACTTTCGCATATTGTGATTTCCACACTACCCAGCAAGAGGCCTCGAAAACCTAAAAACGAATTAAGTATTGCCTTAATTTGCCTGAAGTTTGAATCCATTGTGTGTGTGTGAATCAGCACCCACTTTACAAGACAACCAGTAACAATTAATACCTCAGAGTCATGAGTAATCTTTACAGTGATCAGAAGATCTGAAATGTTTCACCGAATAGTTTTAGCAGTTTGTATTTAAATAAAATAATCCAGCTTTTATGTCTCAGAATAATTTATTGCCATAAAGGTAGTAAAACTGTCACTTTTCTTTGATATGAGATTTGCTTGTTAAATTAACTGGTTTTAAGCTATCAATCTAAATGTGACAAAATAAGACTTCATATAAAGTGTGTTACTTTATTGACTTCTTGCATTCTAAAAGAAATGGAACGGGTCATTTTTAACCAACAGAACTACATAAAAGAAGATGAGAGCTACCATATTGACAGTCTGGCTATTAAAAAAAACAAACACAGAAAAAAAACTGTACATTTTCTGTACAAAACATTTATGACTTTGTCAATCTACAAATACAAATAAAGTTAAATTTACAACTGAAAATTATATTTAGCAGGACTTTTACTAATAATCAAAAAAACAATAATAAAAGCATCTACTTTGAAAACAGAAAAACTACAACACAATAAACTTAAATGGTAATCTCTGAGCACTTTTCTATCAAGTTACAAAGTTGGATTTTTTGCATGGCTTTGCCTGTATGTCATATTAAAATTTAACAAGCACATGGGTAGTCAGTCTCAGTGAGAAAAGAAATACATTCATTGGGCATTATGATAAGGTATTTCTGTCAAGTCTAACAATGCTAAGCAATTTTAGATGTCTGATTCTTCAGCTTTAGGTCCTTAAAGGTCTGCATGTTTTTCCCAGTGACTAATCTGGCTCACCATTGCTTTAATTTCCAACACTGATAATAGAGGTTAATTGTTTGTTTGTTTTTAATTCTGAAACCCATTATTATTTTTTCATTCAAATTGACCTTATCCTTTGTTTCTTTTTCCCTTATGATTGGACCTTCAGGTGTGCTATTTTCTTTCTTCTTTCTTACAAGCAGGTTTTACCCATTCTTTACATGTTATCAATTTACCTACATCTACTCCGCTCTGTCTGTTGGAAATGTGTTTTAGTTTCATGCCAAAATCCAAGCAATCATATTTTGGGGAAACGTATGAGACCTTCTTTTGGAGTGGGAAGTAAGGCACCTCTGTGTCTTTGAGGTCTTATGGCTTGCTGATTTTGTGGGTTTTCAAAACCAGGGAATGGTTTTCCTCCGCTATTTGGACCTGGGCCACGGGGCCTATTAAACTGTGCCAAATGTTGATCTCCAGGATGTTGGAATCTTGCAATGGGACGAGGACCTCTTCGTTCATTAATGGGTGTATGACCTCTCTGCCTGGGATCTCTCCCCCTTATATTTGGGCCCCTACTAACATAACCTGCCCCCCTTATATCTGACACCTGCATGTCATTATTTGGATCTGGCTCAGACCTAGTGTTGTCACCCCACCTACCAGGTCCATTTCTAAAATCTGAACGCTGAGGTGATGGCCCCCTGCTGTCTGTTTTATTGGGCCCCAAACTTCTCATTTTTGGACCTCTACTTTCCCTTCTGAAATCAAATCCTTGTCTACCTGGTTCAGGATTTTCAGGTTCTACATTATGCCTTTCAGATCTTAGATCACCACTATCTGAAAATCTCCCATCACACCTTGGAGCTTCAATGCTTAGATTTCTGTTTGCAGGTCCTGGGGGTCCTAGATCTCGACCTGCTGGAGGTCTTCTATCAGGGCCTTCCATCTCAAATTGCCTCCTGTTTAGACATGAATTCATCAGGCCTGGACCTCCTCTGAGAGCCCCACGCCCTTCAATGTTTGGCCCTCTCATTTTTCCCCTGACATTTGGCAGCCTCCAGTCATTTCTCATATCTGGATGATTGTGCATATGTGATCCTGGCCCTGCTTTTCTGTCTTGTCCTCTATTGTCTAGATCTCTTTCTCCTGTAAAGAATTCCCCAGCACCCTCTCTATCAAGCTCTGTCCAATCATTTCCATGACCTCCCCTACTTGGCCCTGGGCATACCATATCTGGATTTTCTTCAACAGGCCCTGCACTTCTGCAGCCAGGAGCATTCCAGTTATGTCTACGACCCCTTACAGGTCCTTGAAATAACATACTGGGTCTATTCTGCATGGGACCTGGTCCACTACTTTCAGGGCCTCTCCATTCACTAAATAGGCCTTGATTAATATCTTCTTGGTCCTGTTCATCTTGACCCTCTTGGATAGGTCCAAATCCTCTACTAGCATATGTTTCCCAGTCATCCACTGAGCATTCTCTGTCTTGTCCTAAGAATTCTATATTGGTCCTTCTTTCATCTAACCTTTGTTCCTCTGTGTCTGGCCCTCTCCTCTCAGGAGCAGAACCCCAGAAGCCGGGCCCTGGTCTTCTAATGTTTTTCCTCATAGGCCTTCGACCTCTAAAGCTCTGGCCCAATCTATCAGGTTCTGGGGCATGGTAATCTGGGTTTTCTTGAATAGGTTCACACGCTACCCAGTCATCCCTTCCCCCATGTCTTGGATCTTCAGTATTTGAACTTTCATGTTTGTAGCCTGGAACTCTTAAATCAGGGCCATCTGATTTTCTCCAACCTGGTCTTGAGCCCTCCATATCTGGATATCTTTTTTCACTGTAGTCTGGACCTACTAGAGCTATTCTGTCAGGCCCAGGATCCACATCAGAACCTGGCCTTTCCACCCGCTGTGCACCAAATTCTGGACCCCTCCTATGAGGCCCTGGAATCTCCATATTTTGATACCCAACTTCTTTTCCACGACCCCTGAAATGTGGTCCACCTCGTCCTCTGTTGTGAGGCCCTAGATCTCCCACACCTGGACCAATTCTTTCAGGCCCAGCAACACCAATATGTGAACCTCTCCTGTCAGGACCCTGTCCACTTGTGTTTATTTCTCCAGGTCCTCTCCTTTCAGGTTCTTGGCTATGCATAGGAAAACTTGGTATTTCATTTATTGGCCCACTAAAATCTGGACCTTGTGAAACTCTGCCAGGCCCCATAGCAAGACCTCTACAATTAGACCCTAGCCTGCTGATATCAGGACCTCCAGGTCCTCTTCTCTCGGGCCCAGAACCTTCTATAGGTCCTGGTCCCCTGAACCCAGGACCTCCAGGTCGTCTATTCTCATGTCCAGGACCTTCGATAGACATACTTTCCCTCTCATGCCCTGGTCCTTTAAATTCTGGACACCCAGCCCCTCTCCTATTAGTCCCAGGATCCTCCATGGAATCTCTCCTTTCAATTCCTGGACCTCTACTATCAGACCCTGGACCAGCCATATCCAGACCCATCCTTTCACCCCAGGTTCCCCTGAAATCTGGACCGCCAGGACCCCTGATGTCATGTACTTTTTGCTCCATATGTGGACCTTTTTTCTCAGGTCCTAATCCTCTAAAATGTGGACCCACAGGACCTCTTTTGTCAGGTCCAGCAACCTCCATGGCTACACTTCTTCTTTTAGGTTCTGGTCCCACAAAATCTGAAGCCCCTGGTATTCCTAAGTCAGGTCCTTGATTGTCTATAATGGGGTCTATCCTTTCAAGTCCTTCTTCCATGAGGTGTGAGTCCTCTGGTCCTCCACTATTAAGCTTTGGATACTGCATGTTTGGACCTCTCATTTCAGCCCCTGGTTGTCCGAATTCTGGGCCTCCACTCCCTCCCGTGTAAGGTCCCTGGCTTTCCATGTTTGAACCTCTTCTATCAGACAAATGGACACTCCATTCATCTTGTACCAATGGTGCTTCCCTGACTGAATCTGACCCTCTCCAATGATCTCTTATGTCTGATCCTGGGCCATTCCAATCTGGAGCACTTATATGTTTATTTTGATTCTCCTTATCCCTTAGTCCTTGACCTGTCCAATCTGAATTCAACATGTTTGAATTAACTGCATCTGCATGACTGCCACCAAGCTTGCCAAAATCTGCATTTGTGCCATGTGGCTGAAGAGTACTTTTACGGGGGCACCTTTCTTCAAAAGCCATACTGCCATCATGTGTTGTCTTTGGAGGTCTTCCTAAGCCCATAAACAATGGACCTGATTCCCTTATCCCACTACTTACATCAGATCTAAAAATCTGACCTTCATCTTTATCTTTTTGTCCTCTACCACCTCCACTACTATCTGGAGCCATAGCTTCTACCTGTGGACCCCCAAATGACTGCTTTGTTCCCATTTTTTTCACATCTTTCCTGATATCTATGTTTTCTGGCTCTGATCTATGTTCATTTGTCTTTGGACACTGTAAACCTTCCTGCACACAACTAACATTTTGGTTTCTCTCATTAACTTCAAACAGCCCGCTCATATCTGTATTTAGATGATACACAGCTGATAAAGAATCCCTTGGACCTGGACCAACATTACCAGGTGCAGATCTGTCAGACAAAGGGCCCTTCATGATGTTAACTTGTCTTTTGCGCTGGAGGCTTGCCTCTCCCATATACAAATTTGTAACAGTAGGTACAATATTTTGTGTAACATCAGGACTTGGGCATTTTATTTCTGGATTTACACCAGAAATAAAAGGCACACCAGCATTATTACTATCTAGTGCTTCACTTCTCATTTCTGAATCTCTCAAGGCTGGCCATGAACCAGTTATTACAGTATTTTGATGTTGAATACCTTGTTCTCTCATTCCTAAGATTGTACTTGGATTTGAATATCCTCCCTCTTGACCCTTTGTTTCTGAATGCTTGAAGCAAGGATTGTCTGCTAGTGTCTCATTATGCGTCTCTGTCAGACCTTGTCCCTTGGCACCAAAAGCTTTCAGATTCAATGCTCTAAAATCCATGCTTTTAATATTTGAGATCACATCTCCAACAGACACCATTGCTTGACCACAAATTGGCAAACAATTATTTTCAAAGACTCTAATATCTTCCCTTGAATCGCTGACTTCATCAGTTCTAACAGAGTCATTCTTTTCTATGCTGCTAGGTTTCACAAACTGTGGTTCTGGATCTGGGCTTTGGGGAGAATCTCGAATAGGTGGATCAATTTCTCTAAGAGGAATTGTACTGTCAAGTTTGCTGTGAAACAAATTGTCCTGTTTATAGAGTTTATTTTGCTGTGTCATATCATGGTCACTCAGTGAAATCTTTTGAAGCTCCTGAAATTTTGGTGGTTCGGAAATCTCAAGCTTCACATTACATAGAGGTTCGTGTGAGTGTTTTTCAGAGCTCTCAACATGATTACACTCTGATTTTTGTCCATCTGGATCACTTTTGATTGTAACATGTGATATGTTACTCTCTTCAAATTGTCCAGCAGAGTCTAGAGAACTGCATGGAACACTTGCATGTTTTGATTTCTCAGGGACCTGAGGCAAGGGTCCTCTGTTCAGTTTTGGTGAAACTGACACAGATTCTGTTTTTCTAGAAGAAGATGGGGATCTTCTACGCCCAAGAGAATGCCGGCGTGTGGTATGATCTTTGCGATGGCGTCCCTGCCGTTCAGATGGATCTCTAACTCTGTGTCTTGACCTGTCTCTTTCACTCTTTCTGTGTCTATCCTTTTCTCTGCGTCTTCGGGACCGAGAACGAGAACGATGCTGTGACTGTCTTGAAGGACTTCTGTGGCGGTCCCTTTCCCGATGACTCCGCTTTTTTGGTGATGACCTTCGTTTTCTACTGTGGTATGAATTTGGAGACATACCCTTGTGAGAGCCACCATACCTTGCTCTAGACACAGAGTCCATAGTTGTTACAGTTCCCCCCTTAAAAACATCATCTTGAATTTCATTGAAAAGTGATTCATCCTCAGGATCATAAGCTACATCAGAATCTTCAATCTCTCCAGCAGATGAATATTTGTCAGATTCCACACCTTTCTGTGTTTCATCTTGCTTTGCAACACCATCTGTATCATTTCCTAAATTTTTGACAGGTGTTGCGTCTTCTACTTTCACAGCTTGTGAATCCAAATTTGAATTGTCCACAGTCTCTGTAAGGGGGGTAGCCTTGTCTGTTGTTTCTGAAGATTTTGACTCTGTTTTTATAATACCTTTCTGCAGAGAGGACAGTTGGTTAAGCGGCAAAGATTTTTGTGGGGGAGACATAAGTGAATCCGAAACAGAAAAGTGAGCCATGAACATTCCCACAGCCTCTCTCTGCTGACGTAGTGCTTCCTCCTGCTCTTTTAACTGCCGTTTTTGCTCTTCAATTTGTTTATTGAGTTCCTCAAGCATCCTCTGTTGTTCACTTAGTGTTGCAGCTGAGACAACCACTGTGCCCGTAGGGAGTTGTGGCATGACTGCAACTGGAGCAGAAGTTTGTGCTGGGGAAGAAGTGGAAACCGTCACTGGGCATGATGGAGAATCAAATGTTTGAGTTGTAACAGGGGGCTTTGCTACAGGAGTATTACTTTGAATATCTTCAAAGATAGTGTCGTCCTCTGGATCATAGGCCACATCATCTTCCACAAAGCTTGATAAAGCTTTAATTTTTTCTGTGGTCTGTGGAGCAACGGTTGCATATCCCATTGCTGGATCATATTCTTCCTCTGGGTCATATGGTCGGTCAAAGTCATTTTCATCTTCAATCTCCTTGGCTTTGGTTTTGTGTCCATACTGTTGGACAATTGGATCCACCACTGATCCAGAAAGCACTGGGTTCTTCTTAACAGTTACTGTTGTTTTTGTAGAACGTCCATCAGAGACAGTGGAGTCAGCCTGATTACTACGAAACAAGGTACTCAAGATTGTCTGTAGTGGTGTCTTATCACTGGATGCAATAATGGGATTTTTATCAGAGCTGCTGTTAAAGGTGGACTGTGTTGCAGCAATAGTGGCTGAGGTAGAAACATAAGGTGCCGCTTTAACAGAAGTTAATAGAGATGGTATGGTGACTGAGCCAGAGGAGGAAGAGTCTGTTGGTGACCCAGGGCATGATGGTGAACCAGGAGGGGTGGTACTAGCAGGAGTCTCTGGATCATAGGGTTGGAATATCTCCAATTTGTCAGAACCGTAAAGGACTGGTGGTTTTGGGATCCACATAGGGTCCTTGGACATATGAACTTTGGGTCTTTTGTCTTCCATTTCCTGTGGCAAACTTCCTGGACGTTTGACCTTCTGGACGATTGCTAGACCAAGAAGAAGATTGGGGCGGTTTCTTTCAAGTCCTGGAAAAAAATTAGATAACACATTAGAAAACACACTAAGTCTAACAACTCTCTGGTATGGTTTTGGTATGAACCCTCACATATTCAAACATATAAAACAGAAAAATGTCAATTATTTATGAATAGGCAGCAGTCAAAGCATTTCACACCTGGTCCTTCAAGAGGTTGTAGCATAGATGGGATTGGTTCCTTTGCACTGAGTGGGACAAGGTATACATCTTTGATGGAACGGCTGCTATTGGCGACCACACCGAAACGACCTCTGCTGCTGAAATAGGAAAAAAGGGAGACATAGGCGACCTCCTCTTCCTCTGTTGCAGGGTGAAACCGGATCACACATAACTCCTAACAAATACAAAGCAAACAAAAGTGCATGTAAAATACTGATGTAGCCTCAACATTATTATATGTGGTAAGATGCAAAAAGAAATACAGTATATTCTGCTTGCCTTTGTAACTGAGGTCTTTAGTTTTGCAACGTAGTCCCACACTGTTTGAGGCATGATTCGTCCTCCAATTTGTATAGTGTCAGGTAGATCCTATACAAACCACAAAAATAAATGCTTTTTATATCTCCACCCAGTGACAATTATAAATCCTTTTGATATAGCCAGTAAAAAATGTAATTAATATCATGCATTACAATACCGCTTTAAGATTTTCAGGAGATCCTGACACCAGATATCCCTTGGTGACAAACTTGGCTACAGTGAGCATGTTTAGAAAACCCTTCCACAGTATTTCCTGCTTTGCCAGGAACTGAGTTGTCTCACCATCAGCTGGAGATTCAGAGATCACGGTTCTGAAACAGAAACCACAACAATCACATGTACACAATGCCCAGCTTCTGGACAAATTTAAAACAAAAAACAAAAAGCAAAAAAACATTGGCTTGGAGTTCTTTATACCTCGAGCGTGGTCCATAAAGTCTGGGATCAGCAGTGGAAGATGGCTTCATTAAGATGGATTTAGGTACTGTTTTGGTTGGTGGTAGTGATGATGCTACGTTCGATGCAATGTTTTCTTTAACAAGAGCATAAGGAGCTGCCCGTTTATGAGTTGTGTTACTGGAACCAAAGGTGCTACTAGACGAAGCTGAGAACCTGTTTGCAGTGCGGGGATCACGACGCTGTGTAATGGTTACCGTGGAAACAGGTGGAACCAAAACTGGTATATATGGTCTTTTTGGTGCAGTAGCTTTAGAGGTATCTGGAGTTGGGGATGCAGGGGACTCTATGGTAGGAGAAGCAGGAGATTCTAAAGTGGGGGAGGCTGGAGAATCCATTACAGGAGAAGCAGGTGATTCCACTATAGTCAGTGCAGCAGAATCAATATTGAAATGGGATGAAGGGTCCAATAGGTTGGATGCTGGAGAATCCATGTCAGGAGAGTCAGGTGGTGCCAGAAGTGGGGAGTCACCCCCTGCAGACTTTCTCCAAGATGGTTCGTGCTTATCTCTGGATACAGATAGCTTGGATTTTTTCTTTGCAGGTTCCTCCTCTTCCATAGGTTGCATTTGGCCTTTAGGAAGGAACGACAAACTACTTTTAAAAATCTGAATTTAACAGCTAATCAGCAGACAATGATGTCTAGTAGTTTTTACATTTATTCTCATCGTTTTTTAAATTTACCTGTGCATATCTTGCATTTTAAGTCAAATAGATGAGTTTTGTGCTCTGATGTTGTGTCTTTTAGCATGCAGGCAAGAACATCTGGCACTGCATTGGCCAGGCTTGTTTGGCTTGCCCTGGGCTTGACTGCAGGAGCAGGAAGACTTCTCTTCTGTTCCTGTAAAGCAACATATACCAACACAAGAACACAAAAAAACAATTCTTAGTCGATGTTGATGTAATGCGTCATGAAAAAAAATATGATGTAAAAGACACAGCATAATCACCATAAAAACTGTGTATCCAACTGTTTAATTTAAATAAGATAGGTACGTACCATGCTATCAGGTTTTCTGTCAGATTTTGCAGGATTCAAACAGGGTAAATCAACCTTAACTGCTTCAGGCTTGGGCAAACTTATTTTAGCAGCTGTATCCTTAACCTAGAAAGACATAAGCAACCATTTAAGATAATCACTTATGACAAAAGCATTGGCTGATCTTTATCGGGCCTGATATCAAGTAGAAGCATACAATACAATTTTATTTCACTGATATGGTTTATGACTAATACTATTTACCACTGTTGTTTCTTTCACACTTGGCTCAGGTGCCTTGGTAGCCTGCATATCCTTCTGGCTCATCCTAACTAGTCTGAAAGGATTGATATCGCCATGTACCACACAGTATAACAAGCCCTAGAAGACATAAAGAAGTAGATTGTCAATTTGATTTATATTTATATGTACATAAACTAAAATTGGTGTTAACAAATTTCAACATACCTTGTTTCTTGGGTCTTTTAGGTTGAACATTATAGTTCTGTACTTGTTCATGTATTTGCTGTCTGTGTTGCGAAATATGTCAAACATCTCCATCTCAATGCTTGCAACAAGCTTTGCAGCTTCGCTCTCAGACATCTCCAAATCCTCACATTCACACACCCTTAGCAAATGGAAAAAGAAAAACAGTTAGTCCAGAAATATGCTGTTTTTCAAGACTGAGAGACATTTACTGAAAAAATTTAAAGCTTAGTTTGAGAAAACTGTTAAATTGTCTAGGACACTTATTTTCACTGTGTTGGTAATGCTACTTAATAACCAGTCACCGAGATGAGAATGATTCTGAATTGTGGAAGGCAAATAAAACAAATGTTGGTTCCCTCAGCGCAGTTCATTACTGCATGCTCAAGTGTCATTTTTAAAAAACAAAAAGATACTATACTTACATTTTTTTCTACTAGACCTATTATTATATGTTTTTAATAATCTCATGTTACATTTACTCCCCCAAAAAAGCAGAATATGTGCAATAAAAAAACCTAAGGCTGTGACTTTCATTTAATCAGTGATATAGTTCTCACCTTTTGAACAGGATGCTGGTGAGAGAGCGCTGGATACTCTGTCTGACCTGGTTATTGGGTTGAGAGGGCCTGGAGGAGGGTGCACTGGGTGCGGGTGGCACCGGCAGATTTCGGGTTTCATTCAGGGGTGTGGGGGCTGAAGACAGCTTCTGGCATGATGCTGAGACTAATGTGTGGCTTGATGGAGACTGAGATCCAGACTGCTTCTTTGGTATAACATATGTGGTCTTCGTTATCATAAGAGCCCCAGTCTCATGATGTCTGCGCGCTGAGGTGGTTGGGGACGATGTGGCTGGAGTCGGGCTAGATTTTTCTGGGGCGGGTGTTATTAGGGGATCTGATTCTGATGACTGATGCTTTGGCAAGTCACTGTTTACAGTTTCCTTTGCTCCTTCTTCACAGTGGCTTTGTGGCTGGGCTGCTTCAGTGGTAGGTTTAGAAAGGAGACTTGCATCTAGTGAAGGGTCTTCTGGAGATTGTGCTGAAGGAGATACAGCTTCCTTCTCAGCCTCTACCTGTTCACTGTCCTTATTAGCTGTTGGGAAAAAAAAGCACAAGAGGCCATTCTGTAAATATGAAGAAATCTCTCAGAACAGTCTATCAAATAAATCTAACTGTGATAAGAACCAACATGGCACACTAGATAAACAAGTAAGTGGCATCTTTAAAAAAATAAAAATAAAATAAAAAATCACAATTTCTTACTGCAAATCCATGAATAAAAACTGGTCTTGCACCCCATTAACTGCTCAGATACTAAACAGTAAATATAAAGATTTACAAGTTCTGTATCAGATTCAGAGTCCCATCTATAAGATTCGGATTCAAATTGCCAGATGTGTGAATAAACTTGTAGTTTATACGGCCAGATAATAATAGGTTAGGTGATTTAAAAAAATTCCTTTTGGTGATTTTATGACTGTAAAATTAGAAGAGGCAAAAACTGAATTACAGGCACAGAGACTCACAAGTACAGGCTCATGAACATTTAACATAAACCTGCTGTTTAAAAAAACACAAACTTTATTGTATAATACATCAAATGCTTCCCTACAATGATATTAAGGAAATTTATAGCACTTCTTAATTTGTTTTTTTGTTTTTTTTAGATTAACCAATTCAGCCTGGTTAAACATACTCTAAATGATAACAAGGTGAAATGTTGTACTTTGGAGCTACAATGATTAATCCAAGAGCAGTTTAGGCATTTTAAATTTGCATGTACAGCTACACTTAATATTTGCTTTTCAGCATCATTAGCACTGCCTGGCTTTACTCTCCTCACTGTTTGCAGTGAGAAGTCTTGCATTTATCTTAATTTATTTGTTTATTTTTTAGTTTTGCATTAAAAAACAACAACAAACTGAGCTAAAGTTCAAACAACTCTGAATACACTGAGTTTTATGTGTTTAATTTTTGGTTAATCAAATATCAAACCTTAGTAAAATGTGTTTTTATATGCTATTGTTGGGGCAATCACCCATTTTATTTATTTATTTATTTTTTGTAGATGCTGAGTTCACAATAAAGCCCAGTATAGGCGGATATTTGAAATCTATTGTGGAGAAGTCTTTGTTTGCTCATTGCTCCATGAATACTTTCATTCTGGCATATAACTATATTACTCTGTCTATCCAGAGTAATGCTAGCAAGTGAACTGTATATGTGCAGTTATTGTTTTCCGGTTCCACTCAGTGGAAGAAAAAGAAAAAGATCCTTTTTTGTATACATCTATATTCCATGTACATTTTGTATGACTTCAGTACTATGTGTTTGGTAACTCTTGTACAAAAAAAAAGGACAGACTTTCCAAAACCTCTGCACTCCTGGGGTGTATTTGTTTTCCTCTCAAAGGCTTTTTAAAATTTATCAGCAATTATTGTTTACTGTGGAATGCTGAGGCATTAAAAAAGCGTGTTGAGTCTCATGAACACACTTCACATTTATCACTATGAATGAGAATTAACCACACAGGCATAGTTCTGTGATTCCAAACTACTGAAAAATAGACCCAATGTATCATTTATATTTAGATTACAAATTTCACATGCACACAAAATGTTTGATAAATGTGCTTTAGAGTTCTGCTATAAGGAGGAAAATCATAATCTACTGACTTCCTGTGCCTGACATAATAACACAAGTTCTTCCAAATAAAATTTCATAAGAAAAACTAACATCAGATCTTCATAAATCACACTGCCTCCTACTGTGTATTGGACTTGCTGTGTAAATAGCTGTCTGTGCATAAGACACATACAAATAGCTCTGATATATTAGTGCAGAGCCACTGGGATAATAAGCAAAAACATTACAATATAAAGCCAGTTGTATTGATGAGGATGTTTCCAAAAGGACGTTAATAATCCAGCCCAAAACCTGAACTTGGTATTGATATAAAGTTAATTGTTGCTATTTATGAATTACAGCTGAATGAAATGACAACATTTTATGTTAGCTCAACCAAAGACAACCAACAATAAAGGCTTGTGTGTAAACCTGTATAATCAAAGTGCCCCTGAGGACAGGTAATGTGACTATTACAGGTTATTCTAAATAGTTAATCCCATATTTAACCATGCTAATAATTTTTAAAAATGATTGATAATGATTTTACTATATTTATTATACTTTTACATATTTAACTTCAGTTTTATTGTGAGAGTAAATTATTTTTGTTCAACAGCTAAAACACCAAAAAAAAGAAAATATATGCAATTTGTATTGCATATATAAATTGATAAACTGCACAAGTGCAATAAAACATCCCAGCTTTGCATACTACTCTGTTAGGCAAAACTTTTTAAATTGCTATTTATAAACACAGCTTTTGAACCCTAACACAAATAATGCGTGCATTTTTCAGCCTTTCCACTTATAAAACTGATGAATTTTATGCATAACATATAATACACTGGTCCCATTTGGAATATCAGACAAATACCATCCAACCTCTGCAAGACCACACAAAGTCCTGTTGACGTTGTATGGTGTGGTTTGGAAGTCTTAATGTTCACATGTGGAAGTGTTTGAGTCTTTATTGTGGGATTAGGATGGATGGCACAGTGTAGCCTCAGCTTAGCAAGAATGGGAAAGATGAGCTTTTTTAGGTCAGTGTATGGCATGACCATTATTATGAAGCAGGAGGCTTAAATCAATGCAATGTGAAGGAAATCAAGGAGACTTTGTATGAGTAATGTAGGCTCTTAACCTTGGATTATAAGGTGCCTTGAGGTGACTTATTGTGAGTTTGCACTACATTAATAAAAATTAAATGAACAGAAAAAGTGAACTTCCAGAAATGATGAACATTATGGTTAGAAAACCCAAATTGCTAAAAGAAAGAGGAAACAATGACACATCTTCAGAGAGACAGGAAGCACCGTAGATTGTAAAAAGAATTTGGAAAAGCAAGAAAATAAAAGATCAGGGATTTAGTGCGTCATCTGCAGAGATTTTACTGCTTTCTTTTGTCCACTGTCAAGCAGAAAGGCTTAAGACAAAATGAACAATATAAAAAAATAAGGATAGAGCAAAGGAACAAACATGCAAGTGAGTCACTTCTATGAGCTAAATCATGAAGAATCTTTATTTGTGTGATTAGGCTACTGTGTATGTGAGTCAAAGTGAGAAAGAAACAAGCATTTGCCACAGTGAGTAGGTGCAAAGTTATGATGCAAATCTTTTTCAGTTGTTCAGAACACATATCTATGAAACTCCTTATTTATTGACTAAAATTAAGAATGTCGTCACTTTAGGTATTTGTGCTGAAGTTTCAATAAATGTTCAGCAAGGGAGTTTTTCAGTCACAAACTTTGGTCTTCTGAAGGTACATTTCTGCTTTAATCCTGTTCTCATCCTTTGCATAATTTCCACTGTCCCATACCGTCAGACATCATTATAATGAAAATGAACACAAACACCAACCGATTAACACCTTGACATTCAGGATCCTCATGAGGACTTAAGGCAAAGGTTCCATCTACTATTTCTTTGATTAACCTAACCACTATCAGATGAGGTGTCTTCATAGTGTCCTACTATTAGTGAAAAAACAAGAGTGGGCCAGGTGTCAACAACTGATATTTGCTGCAGACTTCAGTAAAAACAGCTTTACTTTTCCCTGCTCACTATACGTGTTAATTGTAAATATTGCTTTTGTTGTTTTTCTGGTGTATTTACTGACAGATGTACTAAATCTGTCAGGAAATCAGTTATTGCACTGTGAAAAACACAGAGTGTCGATGTGGCAGCTAACTGCAGTTGGCTTAAAGTTTAAATAGCAATGAATCAGTATCTAGCTCCCATGAGGTCGTTTTGAAAGCTGCACCACAGGCATACCCAAACACAACCTGACAGCAGTCCCCCCTTTTTCTGTCAATGGACTTGAGGTAGAATACTTAATATACACTGATTTGGCAAAATATCATGACTACTGTCAGGCAAAGTGAATAATACTGATTGTCTCTTCATGATGGGCATTTGTTAGTGGGTGGGATATAACTAGGGGGCAAGTGAACATTTTTTATCCCCAAAATTGCTGTTTTAGAAGTAGGACACATGGGTAAGGGTAAGGATTGAGTTTTGATCAAAGTCAAATTGTGATGGCTAGATGACTGGGTAAGAACATCTCCAAAACTGCAGCTCTTGTGGAGAGTTCTGGGTCTACAGCAGGCAGTATCTATCAAAAGTGATTAAAGTAAGGAACCGTGGTGAACCAGCAACAGGTCATGGGAGGGCAAGGCTCACTAATGCATTTCGGGAGTGAAAGTTGTTCCATGTGGTCTGTTCCAACAAACAAGCTCCTGAGGCTCAAATTGTCGAAAAAGTTCATGCTGGTTCGTACAGTACATTGGAGTTTGTTGTGTAATGGGCTGCATAGCCACAGACCAGTCAGGGTGCCTGTAGTGACCCCCCTCCACCGCCAAAAAACAGAACGTGACCAGCAGAACTAGACCACAGGGGAATGGAAGAAGGTGGCCTGATCTGATGAACCACATTTTATTTTATATATACACTGTGCAATTTTTTCAGTCGCGTTATTCAGCTCCTGCTTAAATTGTACGATTGAATCGCAGGGGTTAGAAGTTCATGGGTCCCTATTCACGGTCTCACACTATACGGCCCGATGCTCTGATGCGACCTGAGTGCTCACACTGTGCGTCTATAACATGAGGTTTATAACACAAAATCTGTCACTTGCTCTCCCCCTCTTTCTGTCTTTCACTCACACAGACACACACCCACAACCACCATCAACTTTGCTATATTGCTAATGAAAAACATTGACCAGGCAGCTGCAATTAAGCAGCAATGTCCATCCAACTCTTTTCATGGTTGATGCAGTCGTGATAATTTTGTGAGGCCACATCGAAAAGTTCTACGCGCTGCGCTGCCATGCTACTCCGTCTTTTTCACTTCCATTTCTGTGTTTGCGCGTGCGCAGTGTGAGAGTTTGCGTTGAAACCCTCACGAGGGGGCGACAGGATTTCAAACAGGTTTGATTTTCTTGTGACCATATGATTGCTGATCGGG